AGAACTTGAAGCACTTACTGATAAAGTTCAAAATTAAAGCCTTCAGTATGGATTGCACCTTAACATCAAGAAAACAAAAATCCTCACAACTGGACCAATAAGCAACATTAAGATAAACGGAGAAAACACTGAAGATGTTAAGGATTTCATTTTACTTGGATCCACAATCAATGCCCATGGAAGCAGAAGTTAAGAAATAAAACGATGTATTGCATTGGGCAAATCTGCTGCAAAAGACATCTCTAAAGTGTTTAAAAACAAAGATGTCACTTTGAGAACTAAGGTGTACCTGACCCAAGTCATGATCTTTTCAACCGCTTCGTATGCATGCAAAAGCTGGACAGTGAATAAGGAAGACCAAAAAAGAATTGATGCCTTTGAATTATGGTGTTGACAAAGACTGCTGAATATACCATGGAATGCCAGAAGAATGAACAAGTCTTGTCGTAGAAGAAGTACAGCCAGAGTGCTTCTTGGGAGCGAGGATGGCGAGACTTCATCTCATGTACTTTGGACATGTTATCAGAAAGGACCAGTCCCTGGAGAAGGAAATCATGCTTGGTATGGTAGAAGGTCAGCGAAAAAGAGGAAGACTTTGACGAGATGGACTGACACAGTGGCTGCAACAATGGGCTCAAACACAGCAACGATTGTGAGGATGGCGCAGAACCGGGCAGTGTTCCACTCTGTTGTGCATAGGGTGGCTATGAGTCAGAAAACAGTAGATAGCACCTAACAACACAAGTATTTTTTAACTGTTAGACTTAATCAAAACAGCAAACTAAAAATAGTTGATTCCTTACTTTAAATACCACATGGGGTCAGCATCACTTGTAACCTTTTCGTTTGCTTTCATTATCTTCTTTATCTGCAGTGGGGGAAAAGAAATTAGGAAAGATACAGGCTTTCAATTAATTGTTACCTCATGTCTCTTTCTATGATTTGATGCTTACCTCTACGTTAATGAAATAGTTAAATGAATCTATATGTTGCTTCACAAGGCCTTTCACCTAAACAGATAAAAAGTAAAAAATAATTAGCAACAAAATAGCAGACTATATAATAGACTCTAACTATAGGTAACCATCAAATTTGTCTCAAAACTAAATTGGAAAAAACATTTATATACCACACACACACACAAAAAAAAAAAAAAAAATTGAGAAAAAAAATCTATGAATTTTATTTAGTAAAACTTTTCATTAATGTATAAAAAAACCAAAACCAAACCTGTTGCCACTGAGTCAATTCCAACTCATAGCAACCCTCTAGGACAGAGTGGAACTGCCCCACAGGGTTTCCAAGGCTGTCAATCTTTGTGGAAGCAGACTGCCACATCTTTCTCCTGCGGACTGGCTGGTGGGTTCGAACCACCAGACCTTTCGGTTAGCAGCTGAGCACTTAACCACTCCAACAGCAGGGCTTCTTCATTTATGATATATACTCATTTTATTTCTCCTCCAACTTACTAGCAGTACATCTTCAAAATTTTCCTCCTAGAGAAGCAACTTGACCCTTGGAATTCAAGATAAGAGTATTCTGAATATACCTATGGACTCCCCATAAGGTAATAAACAAGGCAGAATTTTCTCTGCATACTTTGCACTTTCAAAAATATCCAAGAGAAAATATAGTAATTGAGCATCATTTCTTCAACCCTTAAACAATGTCTATTTCCTTTTTCGTCTTTCTCCTATCTGTGCAATCTCATGACTCTCACATACCCAACCCCTGGTTAACCATATATTTATGGAAGACTGAGAGGAAAAAATAAGGATCCTATTGGAAAAGTTGGAAATAATTGCATTTGAAACTGAAAGAGAACCTAAGATGAGCCACAAGTTAGCAGCAGCTTCCCTTTCCTATGGGTGTCAAGCAGCAACAACTACATAGATAGCACTGTGTATTGCTATGGGAAACACAGAAACAAACCCATGGGCTCCACAGTCTTCAGACTGAAAAGGACTGTATGTATTCATTTTTAAAAATATTCATCTTCAAAGAGAATTTGTTCAACACTGCTAGAATATTCCTAACAGATAATCACAGAGCCTTTGCTTTAATCATACTTCTTTATTGGGGATCTCACTAGCTAACAAAGCAGCTATTACATTTTGAAACAGTCCTGACAGCAAAAAAAAAAAAAAAAAAATTACCCTTATAATGATCTGAGGTCTGACTTCCTGTGTTTTCCACCCCTCAGACTTAACTGTCTTTCCTGGAGAAAATGCCTTCTCTGGGACAGTCTGTTTAGTTACGGCATCGCTCTTTCATGTTCTCACTTCCAGGCTGAACAGGCCCTTCCACTATTTCTTACATGCGTGCTTTTTTAGACTCTTCAGCTACCGATGGCCTGTTCCTGGGTGCACTTCAGCTCGTCAATGTTCCTCTTCACATGGGTACCCTGTGTTCACTGACAACCTTCTCCACATGGTCTGAACAGTGCCAGGTGGAGCCACTACCTCCCTCATTCTGGACGTTATACCACTTCCATCAAAGAAACCAGGTCACATTACTGGCTCATGCTGAGCTTTCAGTCAACTAAAACTCAAAGGGTGATTTTTTATCTTTACACAAAAAATGCTATTAAGTCAGGTGCACTCCATTTGGTACTTGTACAAAACTAAACACAGAGATTTACCTGCATGCCTCTTCACTGTTCTCATCCCAGCCTAACAAGGCCTCTCTGAGTCTTGGTTCTGTTGGCCAACAGCAATGGCAGCCTCGTAAGCTTTGCGTCCTGTCTTTAGTTAACTAAACTTAAAATCTTTATACTTTTGTTCAGGGACAAATATATTCTAAGGTGGTCTGACTAAAGAACTGACTTTAAAATACATAAACAGAATAAATAACTATAGTCTTATGTCTCTATTTTCCCACCTCTTCTTCGACTGTGTGCCACTGACTGTCTCTTTTTGAATCAAAAATATTGCCCCTTCTCCTCTCCTTACATACAGGTTCCTTAAAAATATTTTTATTAAAAACAAACAAACAAAAAAACCTTTCCCTTGACCTGACTACTGTTTTATTTCATTCTCTATTACCCTCCTACCGAAAAACTCTTCAATGGCTTCCTATTGCCATTAGAAGAAAAGCCAAAATGCTGAACATGGCTTTCAAATCTGGTCAGAAATTTCACTTAGATAGTTTCTTCAGCCTCATTTCCCTCTGCCTGTAAAACCTAACTTAAACTCCCAAACCCACTGCCGTTGTGTCAATTCTGACTCATAGCGACCCTATAGGACAGAGTGGAACTGCCCCACAGGGTTTCCAAGGCTGTAACCTTTAAGAAAGTAGACGGCAACATCTTTCTTCCATGGAGCAGCTGGTGGGTTCAATCACTGACCTTGGTTAGCAGCCTAGCGCTTAACCACTGCGCCACCAGGGCTCCTAAAAACTAACATAGCCAGACAAAACTCTATTTATTTTTCAAATCATGTTGGAATGTCCCTTCCTTGAAGGTACGTTTCCTGACTTCCAACTTAGGTATTCTATAGCATTCTGTATTTCCTCCTTCATAACATCTATCAAATTTGTAATTCCCTGCGAGTCTTTAAGTTCCATCAAGGAACCCATTGCCATAGAGTCGATTCCAACTCCTGGAGACCCTATAGGACAGAGCAGAACTGCCCCATAGGGTTTCCTAGGCTGTAATCTTTATGGAGGGGCCCTGGTGGGGTAGCAGTTAAACAGCTCGGTTGCTAACCGAAAGGTCAGCAGTTCAAATCCACCAGCCACTCCTTGGAAGTCCTACGGGGCAGTTCTACTCCATCCTACAGGGTCACTATGAGTTGGAATCAACTCAACAGCAACGGGTTTGGTTTAATCTTTATGGAAGCAGACTGCCACATCTTTATCCTGCAGTGCGGCTGGTGGGTTCAAACCGCTGACCTTTTTGTTAGCAGCTAAGCAGGGCTCCTTTCTCCATTAAGGAAGGGGCCATCATTGTCTGGCTCCCACTATTCTTAGCACAAGCTCTTTAGACTGAATTGAAGCCCTACACCAATCTTATATTCAACAGTTCCTCTAAATACCCACCCATCCATTCCAGCCAAATGGACCTGGTCCCTGTTTCCTACAGACTGCATTCCACCCTTCAGCTTTGTAAATGCTTTGAAATCCAAATCTTTTAAGATGTGGTTCATGTCTCAGCTCATCTGGGAGGCCCTCTGTGACTATCCATGGCATCACTCTTTTGCCAGTAGCACCCTGGCCTTTATTATTCACGTGCCACGCTACTGTGTATACTATTTCCTACCTCTGAACTTAAGTTATCACACACCTGCACCCTGACAGCCCAACCACCTCCAGCACCATATAGGCAGGGATTCTGCTTTCTACTTCCTTGTACTTCCAAAACATAGCAAAGTACACAGTTAAAAAAATGTTAGCTGGTGATAAAAATTTAATTTAAAAAAAAAGGCTTATTTCTTTACTTTTTTAATGTGAAAAATATCCAATAAATAGTAAATGTAGAAGAATTACCTTCAAAAATGCTGGAAGCAGCCTCCACTTTTCCTGTGAACCAAAATAAGAATATCAGAACTCTGTACCAGCAGCCACAGTATTTTCAGAATGTTATTTTAACGTACCAGTGTGCTTTTCTACAGTAAGCAAAAGAAAGTAAGTCAGAAGGACAAATTTTAAACTGTAACCACTTTTATGGAAATTTTTCTAAAATATGTGTATGTGTGTAGCCCAGATTCCTTAAATAGAGTAAAATTTAATCTTTTATATCTCGCATTGCTTCAAGAGAATATAATGTAATCTTCTCTTGATGAGCCAAGCTTCTGAGCACTTCTCATACTTTATGTTATTCTCACAACGATTCCTGAGTAAGCTGGGTTTACCAGTCTGAGAAGAAAACATAAACCTCAGAGAGTCTGGTGGGGACCCCAGTGGGTGCTCTCCCTCCCTCTCACTCTCACTCAACTAGTGCCTGCTCGGAGCACATCTCAGGGCTACTCAGAGATGAGCAACTTTCTTAACCCAGTAATTCCTCCCAGCTACTTTCTTCTCCTGCCCTTTGGCTTAACGGCTCCCGAAAAATGGTCTCTACTTAGCTTCTCTGTTCCTCACTTCCCACTCCTCTTCAACCCCTTATAACCAGGGTTCTGATCCACCTGCCAGGGAAGCTGCTCTAGCAAGGTTGCCAACTCCAAAGACCTTCCCCTTAGCCTCAACTCACATACCCTTTCCAATGCACTGAGCATGCCAATCACTCCCTTTCTGCAACACTTCTGAGACAACATTCTCTTCCTATGTCTTCCTTCCCTCTGACTGTGCCTACTTGGTCTTCTTTTCCTCTGCCTACCCTGTAAATGTTGGTTTTCCTCCAAGTTCTATGCCTGGTGACTTCTTTTCTCATTCTCAACTAGGAGCTGGGTATGGGGGATTTCAGATAACACTTGTTTAGCCCTCATCTCACCTCCAGTCCCAGCTCCAAATGTAAACTCTTGCAAGGGTAGTGGCCCTGTCTAACTTGGTTACCACAGTGTCTGGTACATAAAACCAAAACATTGCCGTCAAGTAGATTCTGACTCATAGTGACCAATAAATACTGGAAAAATAAATGAATCAGTGAATGAATATTACTGCTGTAGTGAGCAAATGAGTATGGGTATGTGCCCTACAACTACTGACTGGGCAGCAACACCCTGAGGAATCAAAGGCTACTCAAACTCAGTATGTCCCAAATCAAAACCAATACCTTCCCCCAGCCAGCTCTGCTTGCTCTATTGCTGATCTCAGCCACTCCCAACTTAGAAATGTAAGAATCACTCCTCATACCTCTTTCCTTGGCTTCTCCTGATCAGTCAGAAAATTAGTCCTACTGAACCTACCTCTTTTTAACTTTTCTCACATTCGGTCCTTGATACTGGGTCAGCTGAGGCCCTCATAATTTTACCTGGACTACTATGATATTTCCTCCAGTCCATGCTCAACACTCAAGCCAGAGGGAACTTTCTCAGGTGTGCGGCTAGTCATGTCATGTCTTTCTCTACCTCATAACTCTCCAGTGCCTCCCTACCATCCTCATGATGTCTACTCTCCACACATGGCATATAACATCCTCTGTGACCTTAAGCCTGCATACTTCTCCGGCCTCACCTCTTGCAGTGAACTACATGCAAGGTCTTTTTACACTTTTAGGCTTTTGCTCATGGTGCTCCTTCTATATGGAATGTCTCCCCCAACACAACCCTCCATCACTGTCTGTCAAGACTCACTTGAGTCGTCACAATCCCACGTCCCATTTGGAATACCAATATACCCCTCTGCCTGCTTCTATCATAGTACATAGTGCATGCTATCCACCTGCTTACATGTCTCCCCCTAAAAACCTGTAAGCTCCTAGAAGATAAGGAACAAGTTTTTTGAACCCGTCCAAACGCTGGGAGTGGTACACCACCTGGCCCATAGTACCAAAACCAAAACCAAACCCACTACCATCGAGTCAATTCCAACTCACAGCAACCCCATAGGGTTGCCAAGGCTGTAAATCTCTACGGTAGCAGACTGCCACATCTTTCTCCCACGGAGCCACCAGGGATTTCGAACCACTGACCTTTCAGTTAGCAGTCGATCATTTTAACCACTGTGCTGTCAGGGCTCCTTTGGCCCACAGTAAGCACTCAATAAATATCTGTTCAACAAATAAATGATTACATGGCTCCAGAGCTATGTATTTCTCCTACCATGCTTCCATGCTACCGCACAAAGCAAAGAAAAATATACTAGGCATGGTTAGTGTGGATAAAATTTTAAAAAGTTACAGAGAAAGCCCTCAAGTTGGAAAATTAAATAGTATTTAATCTCTTGAAAGGAAGTCATTTTTCATTCAGAGAAAACTTTGCACTATTAGAGAAGTTCTCTAATAAAGTACTGTTCAGATTAATCTTCATTTGTCCAACACTGAAATTACAGTGTTTACCTCAAGAGTCCTGGTGGCACAACAACAATTAAGCACTCAGCTACTAACCAAAAGTTTGGTGGTCTGAACTCACCTAGCAGCTTTGCAGGAGAAAGACCTGGCGATCTGCTCCCGCAAAGATTACAGCCTAGAAAACCCTATGGGGCAGTTTTAATCTGTCACATGGGGTTGCTAAGAGTAGAAATCGACTTGATGGCACCTAACAACATCTCAAAGCCAAAAATGCAAAGATAATATTCAATATTCAAATCCTCAGCAGTATAAATGAGAAACAGCGCTCTGAGACCCTTAATGCCATTCTCAATACCTCTACTTTGGAAAGGCAATATAGTTACTCATCACATTCACTCACCTCATTCATTCCATAAAAATGTATTATGGGTCAAGAACTGAGGACATAGCTGAGAATAAAACAGATATGGTCTAGTGGGAAGAAAAACAAGTGACTACCAGTGTTAATGGAGAACAGGATACTATGGCAACAAGCAGCAAGGTGATCTAACATTATCTGGGAGAATCATAGGTCTCCCTGAGGAAGTCATATCACAGTTAAATAGGACTTAACCTACAAAGTGGAATGAGAAACTGTATGAGTACAGCAGAAAGATCTCAGGCTGGGGGTGAGAATGGTGGAAAAGTGGCTGTAGATATAAGGAGTAGCCAGATTAAAGGAAGCCTTATAAATATGGTAAAGACTTTAGATTTTGTCCTAAGAGCAATGGGCAGAGATTGAAGAATATCCACATGACTATACTTGTGTGTTTAAACTGATTACTCTAGCTACAAAGTTGATTCTAACCCACAGCAGAGGATAAATTGGAGTGGGACAAGTCAGAAGCCAGGTAGGTCAGTTTCAAAGTAGGAGACAACAGCATTCAGATTTAGAGAACATTGGGAAGGAAGCTTCAGATTTGATAGTATTTAGAAGTCAAAATCCTTAAAATGTGGTGGTGGTTTGTATCCATTTTGCCAAGAAGAGAAACTTTTATTCCTGATTCATGAGACTGGAACTGTGGTACTGGTTCCCTTCATAGCTGTATAAATTCAGGCAAGAAATTTACATCACAGAGTGTTGATGTGATGCTGGAAGCTAGGCCACCCATATTCAAGTACCAGCAGGGTCACTCATGGTGGACAGGTTTCAGCTGAGCTTCCAGACTAACACAGACTAGGAAGAGGGATCTGGTGGTCTACTTCTGAAAAAAATTAGCCAGTGAAAACCTTACGAATAGCAGCAGAACATTTTCTGATATAGTGCTAGAAGATAAGCCCCTCAGGTTGGAAGGCACTCAAAAGACTAGGGAAGAGCTGCCTCCTCAAAGTAGAGTTGACCTTAATGGTGTGGATGGCGTCAAGCTTTTGGGACCCTCATTTGCTGATGTGGCATGACTCAAAATGAGAAGAAACAGCTGCAAACATCCATTAATAACTGGAACGTGGAATGTACGAAGTATGAATCTAGGAAAATTGGAAATCGTCAAAAAATGAAATAGCATGCATAAAAATCAATATCCTACGCATTAGTGAGCTGAAATGGACGAGTACTGGCCGTTTTGAATCAGACAATCATATGGTCTACTACGCTGGGAACGACAAGTTCAAGAGGAATGGCATCACGTTCACTGTCAAAAAGAACATTTCGAGATCTATCCTGAAGTACAACACTGTCAGTGATAGGGTACTATTCACATGCCTAAGAAGACCAGTTAATATGACTATTATTCAAATTTACACACCAACCACTAACGCCAAAGATGAAGAACTTGAAGATTTTAAACAACTTCTGCAGTATGAAATTGATCAAACATGCAATCAAGGTGCATCGATAATTACTGGCAACTGGAATGTGAAAGTTAGAAACAAAGAAGGATCGGTAGTTGGAAAATATGGTCTTGGTGACAAACGATGCTGGAGATTGCATGACAGAATCTTGCAAGACCAATGACCTCTTCATTGCGAATACCTTTTTCCCCAACATAAATGGCAACTATACACGTGGACCTCGCCAGATATAATACACAGCAATCAAATCGACTACATCTGTGGAAAGAGACAATGGAAAAGCTCAGTATTGTCAGAACAAGGCCAGGGGCCGACTGCGGAACAGACCATCAATTGCTCATATGC